AGTACGAGAAGATTAATAAATTTGTAAAAATTACTTTTATCGGCGAACTTTTTTATGCAAGCAGACTTTACTATTATCTAATAACAACTTGTTATTTGATATGATTTCTATTAAAAATATTTGATTTATTAGTATATATTTGCATTTAAATATGCAAAGATATAAAGAATATGATATTGAGTAATAATAATAATAATAATAATAACAACAACAACAATATCTGCTTCCATTTCTTTAAAGAGCTTAAAATATAAATTTGTACAATCATCTTTGCACTCTATTAAATTTGTAGAATCTCATGAATGATATCAGTTCAATTGTGGGGAGGGGTTTCATCGATAAACATAAGGTGTCTGTAAAAAATTCCCCTCCCATCCACATATAATAATGTATAAATAAACGAGTAATCCTGACCACGATATGTAATCGTAACAATGTCATAAATATTCGTGTTACTTTTGCTGTTCATTAATCAACACACATTACTTAGATCTTCTTCAGATGATTGTGTCTAGTCTATTGGAAACATTGTAATAATTATCTCTCTTAGTGATTGGTCGTGACGTTCTTGCGTCAATCAACGATCGAGGAATGGATGTGTTTTCACGCTGTTAGGGAAATAAAAGAGGCCGAGCAAATAAACGAGACCCAAGGAGGATAATGAACAATTAACAGACGCTTTGGAATGCGTCACGTTGCAAACGACGATTATTAATTAACTCCCATGAACTACGGACTTTATGCACTTCCGATTGCCAAGTTTCGATTTGTTCTTTCACTTAAGTAGCACAAGTATACCGAGAAACTGGTGTTTTTTTTCTCCAAAGATACCGATCGATGTAAATTAATTTTGAAGAAAGAGCGAAGACGAAAAGAAGGAATAGAAATATATAAATCGAGTATTAAGATCTTCGTTTGATTTATATGTTATATATGTTATGTATTAAAAATAATGAAAGAGATCATATAAACATGTGATCTATTTGTTTTTGAATTATAACGAGAGAATTTCTTCTTCGACACTGTATCTACTTATCTCCAGGGAGAGATGTTCACAATGATTCCTTTATATATGAAAAAGTTTGAAAAAGTTTCACCATTGATTTGACTCTTCTTTTTTTTCTAGAAATATTATTCGCACTTTCTAAAGGTCTTGTTCAATTTTTTTTGCGAAATATTTTATCAATAGACGTTCGATATTGAATTTCGTTTGTAAATAATAAAATTAGTTTAACTATTTTTTGATAAAATTATTGCAACATGAAATTCACTATAACTCGAAAACAAAGTCAAATAGGATATATGTTTGTATTAACTTTTTATTGTTTTCATATAGATTCATCCACTGAAACGATTGCTCAATACGATGAAAGACATTGTATATTACTAGTCGCAATTCGATTTAAATTCAACATTTCACAGCTTGTTATTAATAAATTAATTTTTCTCTTATATTGTTTTAAGATCATTGAAATACAAACTTGTTTAATTATTTTTTTTATTGTTTGTGTCAATATTTATTTATATTTTATAATTCAGATTTTATGTATTTATATCCTTTTTATCATTCGAAACCATTCTTAATATCGAAAATATGTACAAATCATATTTTTAAGAATTTTTTGTAATGTAATAAGATTTAATAATCTTGTTAAATAATAATAATTTTATAAAATATATATAAAATATTAAATTTTAGAAAATTTCCAGTATTTATATCATTGAATCTACTTCTCAGAAATATTTTTACAAAATGTTTATTTTTTTCTGCACAATGAATCGTTTAAAAATAAAATAAAATTTCTGAGAAATTGTTTTCTAAATATTAGAAATACTAGGACATTAGGAAATTCTTTTATGACAACTATATCTTAAGGAAAAAATGTGTGAAATCTCTCTATAGTCTGAAAATTGAATTTTCAAGAATTTAGAACGTTCATGAAAAAGAATTTTGAAAATAGGTTAACATTTTTAAAAATGTATTATATTTTTTACAAAAAAAAAAAAAAGGTTTTTACTAATATAAAATTATATATTTAAAACTTATAATTGTAGGAAATTGATAATGATATTATTAGGAAAATAAAAAAAAAAATAATGAATATTGATTGATTTATATTTGTGCAATTTCAATTGTAATGTCAATTGAATAAAATCATATAAGTTAAAAAACATGAAAGTTTAAAAGAAAACAAGAAATTAGAAATTAGAAAAATAAATCCCAAAGAACAAGATAAGATTGAAATAGGATTCTATTTCAAAACTATAACTTTTTACAATGTTAAAAAATTTTTTAAAATAAAACTTTCAAATATATCATTGATCATTTATAGCATTTTGAATTAAAAGAAAAATGAAAATAAATAACCATTGTGTTATAATACTTTGAAATTCAATTTGATAAGTAGTACAAGTCAGTAATTCTCGTTCATAAAAACCAATAATAGTATGTACTTATTTATTTATGTCTTTGTTTGGTGAAATTTTAATTTCATTTTATATATCATTTTTTGAATTTATGATATAATATTCTACTTTAGATTTTATGATGAATGAAAACATTTTATTGACAATTTTATGGTTTTTCAAATTCAATATAATAATCATTTCAATCACTAAAATACAATTGCTTGAAATAACTAGAGAATCTTTTCTCAATCAAATTTCTGAAATACACAATCTAGCACACATGTCAAGGATAAAGCAAATATATATATATAATATTTTTAATCAAATTGTTGAGTAATAGTTTATAATTTTATATTAGATATTTTATAAAAATACTGTAAGATCGTGCAATTTTTGAAAATAATACACATCAATGTATATAGTATTAATTGTGTAATACAGTTTTGAAAATATATATTATGTAATTGAATAAATTTAAAACGAATTTTTTTTATTATTACAATACTTATATTTGTTTAAACATAATTTAATATTGATGCGAAAAAGTTGTACAATTCTACTTAATTGACAATATAAATTCTAATTTTTTTCACGTATTCTGCAAATTATTAATATTGATATTAATGATAACAATAATTTCTTAATATTTATTTGCTTTTTACTCTTTTAAAACTTTTAGTGGACATATTAAAGTTATATTATTAAATATATAACATATGATAAACTCAATCTACTTTCTATGTTTAAGAAATAAAAAATAAAAAATAAAACGTAACCATGATTTGATGCTTATTGCATTTCAATTAAACAAGGAATAAATATTTTATTTATATGGAATCCAAATAAATAATAAACAAGCAAATAATAAATATCTCTTTTTAAATTATGAAATAATATTATTAATAATATTTACTACAAAATACTATATACTGAAAATATTTTAACTTACTAATATTTGCTTTAATTTATCTCAAATTTTTACCTCTTCTATATTATGTATATATTTAAATTATATATATTTATTACAATTTTTATTCTTATAAGCAAATAAAATTTCGATTATAAAAAGAAATTATTTAAGATATACATTTCATATACGCATGTATTGTGCATTTATTATATAATAATAGAATAATCAAAATTATATTATACGTAAGATGTACAAACGTGTTAAGAAGATTACACGTTTTCAGAAATATTTTATATTTTCTCGTTACACTATAATATAATTTTTAATTACGCGAGAAACTATTATTATTAATTCGTTAATGAGAATTTTCGATCGATCGATAAAGAATATTTTGCATCGCGTTTTACAATTATTGTTGTTGCGCTTCCGGCAACGGCAATGATTGATCTACGCGTACAACGATCGATCGATAACATGTATCATCATTTAACATTTGCCAAGTTAATACTCGTCTCTTTCGATTGACTCGAAGCTATTTGCAGCAATCGGGCGTGTATCTACGACTTAAGATACGATAAAAATAGAAAGTTTAGTCTGCGCAACGAATATAATAAAATGCATGGATAATAATGATAAAATATGCGTGATAACGAAACTATAAATACATATAATGGGAATAATTATTCTTGGGAGGAAGAAAATGGAGATACTTTTTCCTTAATTAATTCGTATTTCATATCCGAGAGAAAATATTATGTTAAGGGAAAAGAATATGTAGATAGTGAATCACGATTGCATTGAAACATTTTGGGAAATTTAATATATATTTCTTTTGTAATGTTTATAAATAATGACTGTGTACATAATAATATTGAAATTCTGGTCAAGAGGATTTTGTTAAATTGTTTTAAAAGATGTATGGATTTTCTGACAGGAATTAAAGTATCATTTGTTCATTTATTACATTCGTTTATTAATTAATAAAGAAGTTAAAATGTATTATAAAGAAATTATTGTTTTCTTAGAATGTGTATTCCATAGTCTTTATCCATAAGATAAAATTCTTCTTTCAATTATAAATATTACAAGTTATCTTTTCCCTCATAATTCTATTGTGCCTTCCAAATACATTTAATATCTTATATTGAAATGTCAAGTTGATTGAAAAATTAAAAGAAATGATTTACAACTAAAATTAATTTTTTCCATCGATAAACATTGATATTTATAGCTTTTATTGATAAAATTTTTTGATATTTAAAATAACAAAATATTAAATGTAATTTCTATTTTATTCTATTATTTTCAATTTCAATGCACATTTTTTTTTAATTATAATTTTATTTAATGCAAATACATTATTAAGTGTAAAAAATTACAGAAAAATTTATTCAAAATTTAATTTGTTCAAATATAATAAATATAAATACTAAAAATTTAAACAAAGAAATAAAAGATAACAAAATAGATTTCTTCCATACAACTGTTCATTTTCTTTGTCTTCAACGATACATAAAGAAATAATATAGAAAAAATGAAAAAAAAATATATATTTTTCGAAGAAGCGTTTCTTTACTGTTACACAAAGAAACCGCCTTAGGATATCTGCGAATTAACTAAAATCTCTCTGTGTTTCATTGCTAGATTACAAAAAAAAATCGTAAAATCGTTTGTTATTCAGGTTGTGGCAGTACACGTTGAACCAAGCATTTTCGATTCGTACTACAATGGATGTTGCAACGGAACTTTTTGGCCATTGTTCCACTCTATGCCTGATCGAGCGACCTTCATTGCGGAGCATTGGCGAGCGTATTCCGCGGTAAATGAGGAATTCGCAGCAAAAACGGTGGGTAAAGTTCTCGAGTGGAATATCGATTATTCGAGAAATTAGGGGAATAATTCTTGGAAAGTCGTGAAGTTGATAATATTGTTGATAATCTGACAATTGTGCAAATAAAATTACTTAGATAAAAGGAAAGATAAATGAGATATAAGACATAGGAAGTTTTAGTTAGTCTGTTATCTACACACCTTGTATATTGTACAAATAAGTTTTTTTGAACTTTTTTTAATTTTCGAAGAATGATATTGAAGTGACAAATATTTGTTGTTGTACAATTTAAATAGAATGATATCTATTTTTATGAATGAAATATATCATTTTCATGGAAAATAGGAAATTTTGCATATGATTTTTAATAGTTTTTTTAGAGTATTTTAATATTACAAAAATCATTATTATTATTTTCTAGTAATTTTTAGAAATTGTTTAAAAATTTTTATTGTATGTTTTATTGTTTTGTATAAATACAAAATTATTATCGAGTCACTTCTTCGAAAAACATTAATTGTTTTTTTAATAATCTGGATCAATTAGGTATTTTAATAATTTATCTATACAGAATTGAATCTATATTAAAATTTCAAATATTTAATGAAATAATATAAAATATAAAACAAAAATAAAAATATCATAAAAATATATATAAAATATTTTTTTACTTTCAAGCCAAATGTCCAAATATTAATGTTTCTGGATAATAATTCAGATAAAAAGAAATACTATTCAATTGTAAAGGAAGATAATAACTGCAAAAAATTTTAAAGTGAGTGTTTGTCTACTTTATAGATTATATATTTTAAATTATTAATGTTTTACTTCTTATTTTAATAATTGATAAATATCAAAATATTTTTTGTTAGAAAAATTGATAAAACATCTATTGCTTTTAGAATCTAAAAAATATAAGTAAAAAGTAATAATTATGGAGTATTACTAAAACCATCAAAATGATATAATATAAATTTTTCACGAGTTCAATTCTGTTCCAAGTCACTGTTTTCTTCTATTGTTGAAATATTGAATAAAAAATTTTATATTAAACAAATGAGCATTCTCATAATAATAATTTGATAATTTTATATCATTGATATTTAGGTCCGTGCGTTAGAAGAAATCCATAAAGAGCAAAAGAATCAACCAAATGGTACACCATTGGTGTGGGTGCATGATTATCATCTAATGTTGGCCGCGAATTGGATTAGACAAGCAGCTGATGAGAAGCAACTTAAGTGTAAATTAGGTTTCTTCCTTCACATCCCTTTTCCACCATGGGACATATTCAGATTATTCCCATGGGCTGATGAAATTCTTCAGGGAATGCTTGGTAAGGAAATGTACTTCTATCAATTTTTAGATTCTTAGATTATAGATATATAGATATTATATTTGTGTATTATTTATATTATTATGATATTATTTATGATTTTGATTTTTATGTTGCTAAGAATTTTTGTATTGCATATCTATATAAATTTTAATCAAAATTTATAAATTTAAAGTTAAAAAATTTTGTTCCAAGACAAATATTTAATATTTATAGAAATATAAAATGTTATTTTTTAAAAATAGATAAATATTGATTTGTAAATTTGATGAATTTTAATTTAAAGAAAATTAATATACATAAGATCAAATAAAGGAACATTTAGCGTTCGTTCGTTAAAGAAAATAGAATAGAATAAAATAAGATAAATTTAGACATTAAAATAAATAATTATAATAAGAATAATTATAATAATAGAAGATTTATACATATTGATCGAATATTTATTACATATCTTAATATTTTTTATTCAAAAAGATTTGAAAATCAAATTTAATAAAAATAAAATCTCATTAGGTTGCGACATGGTCGGTTTTCACATTCAGGATTATTGTCTGAATTTCGTCGACTGCTGCCAGAGAAGTCTCGGCTGCAGAGTCGATCGTAAGAACTTGTTGGTGGAGCATGGTGGAAGAACTGTAAGGGTGAGACCGCTTCCCATTGGTATTCCATTCGACAGATTTGTCTCGCTGGCCGAGACTGCCAGCAAAGTCATATCAACTAATCAGAAAATTGTATTGGGCGTTGATCGTCTCGATTATACCAAAGGTCTAGTTAATAGACTGAAAGCTTTTGAGATGCTGCTGGAAAAGCATCCGGAACATCGTGAGCAGGTAAAGATGTTGCTATTACCTAGTCCCCCTTGTAGTTGCATGCAATTACAAAAAGATTTATTTTATATTTTTACATTTTAATGTCTGTTTGCAAAAGCAAATCTTTAAATTATTAAAAATAGTTACTTTGGATTATTATATTGTAAATATCTATTTTAGGTATAGATATATCTACTTAGATATATATTTTAATGTTTAAAAGAGAAATTATAAGTGTAACTTTAAATTTTAAGTATTTCAGAATAAATATTAAAATGCATTATTTATTCTGTTTTTAATTATTTAATAATAACTTTTGTAATTGAAGTAGTGTAAATTCTTATAAAGATAGTAAAGAAAAGTTGCATTTAGATTTAACAATTAAAAGGATTAAAAACAATTAAAAAGACATAGTTATTTTATTCATATTTTAAAGAAGTTGTGTAATAAGAAGAAGAAATTATTAAACGAAATAATATTTCTATTTAGGTTACTATGCTTCAAATTGCTGTACCATCACGAACAGATGTGCGTGAATATCAAGATTTAAAACTCGAAATGGATCAGTTGATCGGTCGCATAAACGGTCGATTTACAACACCCAATTGGTCTCCTATTCGTTATATTTACGGTTGTGTGAGTCAGGATGAATTGGCGGCATTCTATAGAGATGCTGCTGTTGCTCTCGTTACTCCACTCAGAGATGGAATGAATTTGGTTGCCAAGGAATTTGTTGCTTGTCAAATCAATACACCACCGGGTGTGCTGATTGTTTCACCATTTGCTGGAGCTGGAGAGATGATGCATGAAGCTTTGATTTGTAATCCATATGAAATAGATGAAGCTGCAGAAGTTATTCATAGGTAAGTTTTAAAATGAAAATAATATTTTATTTAAATATTTATAGTTGATACTATGATACTATATAATTTAATTAATATTCCAATATTAACATTAAAGCTAATTTTTAGTTAATTTACATTAGCAAACTTTATTATTCTTTTATTTTGTAGTTTTTTTAACATAATATTTTTATTAAAATTAATCTCACTTTAAATAATAAATAATTTTTTCAGAAAATGTATAAATAAAAAAAAATAAAAAGCATAAACAATCTCTTTTATTTCTTATTATAAAAATTTATTATATATGTATATTTTAGAGCTCTTACTATGCCAGAAGATGAACGCACATTAAGGATGAACCACTTAAGACGTCGCGAAAGAATCTACGATGTTAATTACTGGATGAAATCTTTCCTGCAAGTAATGGGATCGCTCGAGGAACACGATTCTGTAGGTGCTACGACAATGCAACCTGTGACTATGGATGATTTCGATGATTATTTGAGCAAGTAAGTATTATTAGAGTTCAACATGGTGCATGACTGGGCCCGACCAGAGCTTACACGGGACTCAATCAACCAAAATTAAATTAAAATTATTTGGTGTTAAAATTATTAACACGTTATAGATTATAAATTTCTTATTGAATGAATTATTGATTGAAACTCAAAATACTAAATGAATTAATTGCATTTTAACGTATGATTATGAGCAAACTATTATATTGAAAAACATTATTTAGAAAATTTCTGATATATAATAAGAAAAATTTATTGAATAATGAAATTGCAATTCGATTTGTAATCTAATATACAAATTCTAAGTTAAGTAATTCTTACTTTTAATATGTCATTTCTAGAATTTTAAATATGATATGAAATGTACAAATGTATAATAGTTTGCTTATTGCATATTCAAGGATATATTCTTGGGAATGCCTATATATAAAACATATATTTGATAAGTCAACTAAATCATTTAAATGGAATGTTCTTTCTTTCAATACAGATTAAGAATAGATTTATTTTATTATTAAATCGAGCATGAGTTTGGGTACATCGCAACGTGGGGAACGTTGGTCAACTGATATTGTGTTTCTGACATTGTCAGTATAAAAAATTATATAAATTCCAATTATTAAAATTCAAGATTACCTTAAATACTCTTCTCCTAATTAACTATCCATTTTTTTCTAATTTTCCTAAAATACCATCCTGTTATCAAGTTACTGTGATGTATTTAATGCATCGTGAAAAAAGTATAAATATATTTCTGGATCAAATTTGTAATAATATTGGGATCTTCGATATGTCCATGTTTGATATTATTTGAGGTTATGCTCAGCCAGAGAATGCTTTTGGAAAACGGGCGGGCCCGCGCGTGCGAATGTGACCTGACTCATGATGAAAACCGGGTAACGTTCCAGTGACATCCACATGTCTCCTAGGTATATCGGCGATAATCATAAATTGGCTCTCCTATTGGATTATGATGGTACATTGGCTCCTATTGCAACGCATCCGGATCTTGCGATCTTACCACTTGAAACAAAAAATGTTTTACAAAGGTTGTCCAACATGTCCGATGTGTACATAGCAATTATATCGGGTAGAAATGTGAACAACGTAAAATCAATGGTTGGCATAGAGGGTATCACATATGCTGGAAATCATGGATTGGAAATTTTACATCCAGATGGCAGTAAATTGTTCATCCGATGCCTGCTGAATTGGAAGGCAAAGTGGCAAATTGATGCAAGCGTTGCAAGATCAAGTGAGTTTCATTTAAGATATTTTTTTAATAGTTTAACATTTTAGAAATTCTTTTATATATTTCATTAAATTAAAATCTTTGTAATAGTTTTCTTAACGTTGAAATTGAAATTATATAAAAATAACTAAATAAAATAAAAGTAGCTAACATAAGATTAAAAATATAAATGATAAAGAAATGATAAAAAAAAATTAATACCGAAATTTCGATAATTAAATACTTTTATCACGTGTGATATATCATTCGAAATTTCTATATTATAATAACAAAAATGAAATTTAAAAAATTTTAAATAATTTTAATAATTGCCAAATATGTATACATTGAACTAAAATTTTACTAATTTGATATATTCACCATAGCTCTGCAGAGACGGTGCTTGGGTAGAAAACAAAGGAGCATTATTAACGTTTCACTATCGTGAAACGCCTATGGATGTACGTTCTGCAATGGTTGAACAAGCAAGGAAAATCATTGAACAAGCGGGTTTCAAAGCCTGTTCGGCACATTGCGCTATCGAGGCGAAACCACCTGTCGAATGGAACAAGGGCCATGCTTCCATTTATATTCTACGTACTGCTTTTGGCTTAGATTGGAGCGAACGTATTAGGATTATTTACGCTGGTGATGATGTGACAGATGAAGATGCGATGAAGGTATGAACTTCTTAATAATCGATTTATGAAATGAAAAAAGAATATTACTTTTAATATACTCTTAGAGAAGGTTTTCAAATTATTCAATTATATCCTCATCTTTTGATCTGATTTTATATTTATATATATTTTATATATTTATATTTTTATATTGTTTATTTTATCTAGGCGCTGAAAGGTATGGCAGCAACTTTCCGTGTAGCGTCATCACATATAATTCGTACATCGGCTGAAAGGCGTTTGCCGAGCACGGATTCCGTATTGACCATGCTGAAATGGGTGGAAAGGCACTTGAGCAGACGTAAACCTCGCAACAGTACTGAAATTCCTTCTAGATTCCGTCGCAGCAGCGCTGGCATTACTATGGAAATGTCTTATACAGCATTAGAATCCTAGATAATGCTGTAACATTCTACGTTATCATATCGACTGTGTCCTCGACGAGAATTTTGTATATCATAAATTTATGATATACTTATAGAGTAAGGACAACTAAGCACGAGAGAGAAGAATAAAAATAAAAGGACAAAAGGGAATCTCTAAGTAGTTAAAATCAAACAAAAAAGACAAAAAAAAAAAAAAAAAAAAAAAAAATAAGTAAATTGTTTAGCATAATCGTGATGGTAAAACACCATCAGCTAATAAACAAATCAAGTATCATGCGAATACTTTTTCTTTCCAACGAATTGTATTCGAAAGCTATAATTACATTCAAATATATAGAATTAATTTAATAGAACAATCGTACAAACATATAGATATCATCAGCCAAAATAAAAGAAATCTTTTTTGATGTGAAGCAAATAAATCTTTATAAACTATTTTTAATTGATGTATCTCTCCGGTAACCATTTAAATGGCTTTACCCCCATAAAATAAATTATGAGAAAATTACGGGAAAAAAAAAAATAAAAAAAATAATGAATGTTATGTGTGCAGTCGTCAAATCTCTATTTCAATCGTGATGTGTGAATATATACATGTCCTCCTTTTTTTTTTTTTTGTAATTTCATCATTCATCGTATAATTATAAAATACATTGTACGATAATAATCAGGCTGAATGTAGTTTTCGGCGAAGCGTGTTTCATCGGAAACCATAATAGGTACTTAGTTATGTATAGTTTTTAAGTTCGCGTCGCTCAAAAAAGTAACAAAAAATATCCGATATATATTGTAATATTATCGAAGTAACTTAACTTAAAGTGATTTTATTAACCAAATATTGTATAATTGCTATCAATTTCCGAAACATGAAATGAATAATTGTAACGGAAAAATGGTTTTACATTGGTACATTAAAAAATAAGAGAAATCATTGTATTCGAATTTGTAGTCCGCTTAAAAAAAATCATAATCAATTAATATAATGGATTTCAGTTTTGCATTCGTAGAATTTAAATTAATTTGTTAAATATTGTGTATTTAAGTTAAATTGATTTAAAAGTTTTTGCTGTTTGTATTTCAGGCATATTTTGTATACTTTTGAAATTGATAAAAGTGAATAACGATGAATTCTCATTGAAATAGAATCATGAAATATCTGTTTTTTATAAAAGGTGTTTTTCTTTTTTTTTTTTTTTCTTTTGCGAATAAGATCTTTTTTTATAAGAATATTGAATGAAGTTTATAAATTTGTATTATTAAATAATCGACATAACAGAAACGATTTAAGAAGAAATATACATACCCAGGCGAGATTACATTTTTAATATGCCATATCGCTGATGAAAATGAACTTTGAAATAAGTGATTAGTTGATTAGTTAATTTTTTTTTTTTTTTTTTTATTTATTATTATTCAGATCCTGGAACTGTAATAAACAGTGCCAATAAAGTCCACAAAAGACGCAATACACAATAAATAGTAATGAACTATATAAATGATGATTTAACGATAAGAAATTCGCGAATATTATACAAATGTATTGTATACATATATTTTAGATGCATACTGACATATAAAAACAAACACATTAACATATATTTAGAGAAAAATCATATTGAACATATATTGTTAAATGAAACTTCGAAATGAACTATATATTTGAAAAAAATAAGTTAAAGTAAATATGAACAATTTTTACACGTTTTTTAAGTAGAATAAGTCATTTAAGAATTTATTATTCCATGTGTTTATCTGTTTTCTACCTGAAATTAAGAAAAAAAAAAAATCAAAATCGAATGAATGGGATGAAAATAAGATAAGTTTTTTTTAATATCTTAAAATATTTTTAAATAAATTTTTAATTAATTCGTTTTTGGTACATATTAAAAGGTATTGAAAAAATACAAATAAAAACAAACTCTTAATTAATTGATATTTAATCAGTTCGATATATTTTATGAAATATCGATAAATTTTGAAAAGAATTTTTTTATAGAGAATATTATAAAAATTGCTATACATATAGCACAGTAATATAGCAGACCAAATAAGAATTTATAATCTTATTTTCAATGGTAGGCCTGTTTGAATCGAAATTATAACAAAAAAAAAAAA